ACAAGCGGGATTGGCCTAGGGAATTTTAGTGGGGTTTTTTAAGGGAAATTTTAATTATTAGGCCATTACAAATATTTCCTTTTAATCTGGTTTTAATTTGATATTTACTGTAATATTGGTTTTATAAGGCTGTCAGCCGCCCTGAGTCCGGTAAGGAGAAGGGCGGGATACAAATCAAATAAATAAATAAATAAATAAAATAAATTTACGTTGCATAAGAAAATAGGAAAAAAATAAATATATAAAGCATTGTTTTTACTGTTCATTTTGGAGAAGTGCAATGCAATTCTTCCTGCTTCCACTTTGAAGTAATTTCCATTGTGTTCGATTTCGCACACTTCTGAGAAGTATGGTTATCAGATCTGAGCTGCAAAACTCCATAGGGCCATCAGATGGCAGCAGAACAATACAAAGAACAGTACATTATTGCTGCAATCTAGTGATTGTCTAGACAAGTTTTGCAACCCAGATCCTATCTAGCATGATTCAAAGTATCTTTCGGGAATGGAATCCAAAGCTTTGCACAGCTCAATTATCATACAGAGTGATAGTGAGAAAGAATACAGTTAGAATACCAATTATATCACATCATCGTATCATACGACACTACTTTATAATACATTACACTATGTTTGCTTACTCTATAGCAAGGGTGTCAAACTGGTGGCCTGCAGGCCGGATGCGTCACGTGCAGGCCATGCCCGCCCTGGCTCCGCAAAGGCAAAAAAGGTCACGATACGTCACGTGACACGATTGAGTTTGACACCCATGCTCTACAGCAAGCGATAATTACAAAAATGGTTAACTTACAGAAGGTGTGAGTTTCAACTCAGATCTCTCCCTGTCCCCTTGTTCAAAGAACTCACTTGTTACCAGTTCAGCTACCTAAAACGCATACAAAAAGATCAAATTATGGTTTATATTGTTAATTGCATTCCAGACTAAAACCTTTATTAAGATTAAATACAAATATGTATTTGACTATCAGATGCCCTTGGTGAATATTTAGGCATAATATATGCCTGTCATGCTATTTTTTGCAATGTTATGCAAAGAGCAGAAGAGGAATAATAAATAATAAACCAAGGAAATTAAAACATAAGCTAGGAGAAAAGACAACATAGCTTAATTTACTATCCAATAATACTTTCACTATATCTCTCCATACTTTTTTAACCCTTGCAAACACTCCATGCTTCAAACATGTTTACACACTGCTTCATATACTCTTTTCTCTTGTTTAAACTTGAACTGTCTTTTTTTTTTTTAGATGTTGTCATCAGGTCCATCCAACCATGACTTCTTTGATACATTGATACATACCTTTCTCTTGATACATTCACTCATCCTTCATGTACTTGTTTTCTAATTTGATCTTCATTCACTCTCTCAATATGACCAAATCACTTCAATATATTCATTTCATACATGCCATTCACTTTTATAGATGCATAAAATTTCAAATCCACGCTCCTTGTTGTATCATACAACTATATAACATTCGCTGCAAGTCACTTGGATTCTCAGCCAACACTGCAAACGCACATTCGGATTTCCAAGCAACACATCTCACACATCGGCACAAGCATTCGTAACACATTTATCCACAACTACACAAATAACCAAGGATTGGTCAGACAGCCTTTCTTCCTCCTCATGTAATGTTGAGTAATTTATTAAGCATCCATTTATTCTCTTGCATGTTTTATTTCCATTGTTTTACTGTCATTCAGCAACTTCAACTGTATTTGCATAAAACATTCCGTTATTCCTATCTATTCAATTTAGAGTATAATTTCACTAAATGAACAAATATATAGTCCTGTTCTCACATTGGGATGGGGGGGGGGCAGGGGGAGCTGCAATACTGCTGACGTAGGTCATAAGAGCAGGCGGTTTGCCAAGCACTCAAATTTTGTTCATGTGACTGCTGGGGCATCGCAATGGCTGTCAGAAACTTTAATCCAAGATTCATCAAAATTCATCAAAAAGTCCCTAGACAACATTGAAACTGTCTAGTGATCCGTGGTCAGTATTCAGTTCCTGACAGACATCGTATGTTTATTTACTTTAGAAAAATATAATAAGGGACACCTCCTCTTTTACGATAACGGTCAAAATAATTCGAATATGACCGGTACGATCCTTAAGTGGATGAATGCATCAAGTTGGGCAAAGATAACCTAAGCAATCCCTCAAATAATTTTAAGTAAAGTTTTGAACTAAAAAAAAAAAGATCTTTCATAAAGATTTATGGTAAGTCTTTGCCTTCAATATTTTATGCCAGGATGGACATTAAAGCACTGTCAATTAGGTATGCCAAATTTCTTTTTAATTCACATTTTTAATACAATGGAAATGATCACCATAATTGATTATGTGATTATAGAAGTAAAGTCTCTTGAAATACTCTAATATTATTCAATGTTATCAATTAAGCAAGAAAAAGAAAAAGACTGGGCAATAAACTACACGTAGCAGAAGATCTGTGATATTTTTAATGCAGCAGTGGTATTGTAACCTGACTGCAGATTTGGCCCTTTCCGTGTCAGGTTCCTGGGAAAATTGTTGGGATAGAACCTCCCCTTTCTTGTGCTGCTATTAATCATGACTTGCCTGTCTTGAAATCTCCCATGGTTTCGTTGCAGCTCCAAGGTCACAGGCTGTCATTAGCATTGATCTGAAAAACAGAAATGAACAATAAAAATGGAACAAAGCTTTGTTGGTTTTCTAAACAAATTCATCCTGAATACATGAGGCATTTTTTAAGAGTAAGACTTTACACCTCCTTCGCCAATTTAAAATATGACACAGTTTGGAATTTGAATAGTCACTGTTTTTATGTCATTAGATAGATGAAAGCTAATGCATTATAGATATAATCAGATAATGACTTTTCAATGCTAACTATTGAGTGTTACAAAAGATACATGTTTCACTGCAGACCAACTACTCATTTTGCTGTTGTAGTTTGATTAATAAATATAGGGCACTAGTTAGTTGGAATGTCATGATGTGATAAAAGGAAATTATGTAATAAATACAGTTTGGGGTAGTCTGTTTGCCTGGATATAACTGGCTACTGTACTAAGAAAATGATTGTGAGAGGCATTCCAGACACTGTTTGAACAGTTTCTATCGTTCGTCCGAAATAAATATTCAAGATTATTGTAAGGATTACTCCATCTCAATGTAGTTTAATACCTGGCTACAAATATGTTTTATAAGTGTTGGGAGATAGCAATTACTCAAATGGAGAAAGCATTTATGTACAATGCACAATGCAAATTAAACTATAAGGAAGCCCAGAAGAACAGCAAGAAAACTGGGGATTTTTATAAAAGTAAATGTATTATCCATATTCTAAAATCAGGAATGGGTGAAATATATAAGAATAGAAAATTATCTACACCTCATTTAAAAACACAAAGACTTAAAGAATAGCTCCTTTCGTGAGTATGTTTCATCCCCCACAGATGAAAATACTTAAATACTGATGTTTATGCTCAGGGCTTTTTTTCTCATAGAACGCCCAGAATGTAGTTCCGGCACCTTTTTTGGATGGAACCTTGTAGGGTAGGCAAGGCGGGTTGTATGACGTGTGTGAGTTCCGGTACCTTTTTTTTTTTTTTTTTTTTTTTTAGAAAAAAAGCACTGTTTATACTGTATATTCCCAATCTGAATACATTCACTGAGCTTCTTATGGTGTAAAGAAGATTGCCAGAGTTACAATGGACTATCTAAGTTAGCCTTCTCAAACTTTGTGCCATGAGGTTGTGTCAAAATATACTGCAGGTACTCCTCAACGTACGACCACAATTGAGCCCATAATTTCTGTTGTTAAGTGAGACATTTGTTACGTGAGTTTCCCCCCAATTTACGACCTTTCTTGCCTCAGTTGTTAAGTGAATCACTGCAGCTGATAAATCAGCAACGTGGTTGTTAAGTGAATCTGACTTCCCCGTTGACTTTGCTTCTCAGGTCACAAAAGGGGATCACATGATCTTGGGACACAGTAACGGTCATAAATATGAACCAGTTGCCAAGCATCTGAATTTTGATCACGTGAACCTGGGGATGCTGCAAAGGTCATAACTGTGAAAAACAGTGCCACTATATTCAGTGCCACTATAACTTTGAACGGTCACTAAACGAACTGTTGTAAGTTGAGGACTACATGTACACATCATTTGCAGCCTGCATAGCTTTATGCATTTTTTTTTCTTCCTAGTGTTTTCCCACAAGTTCAGGGTCTGCTATTTCTTCTGGATCAACCAAGTATCGATCCCACTGTTTGCCACAGGAATTGATCAACCCGCTTATTGCCCAGGCCTAACATCATGGCCTGAGAGAGAGAGAGTGACTGGCCCAAAGTTATCCAGCTGGCTTTTATGCCAAAGGCAGGACTTTATGTTTTATGGGAGTTAAAATCCAGCTGTCTCTGGAGGTCACCACATAAAGGAACACTGATTTAGAAGAGCCCTTATGACCCACGTAACAAATCAAGAAAGCAGCTTTTTCTTCCCAAAGGGACAATTTAAGAAGGGACAATTTTCTGCAACGGGTACCTTCTCTATACCTGCGCATGGAAGACAGAATCAGAGGCATTTGGAAGGAGCATAAAAAAAAGTTAAAACAATGGTTACAACTACACGATCAAGGCTGTCATCTTCACTTTTTAAAGAATTAATTTAAAAAGAAAGACAATATAAATAAATGGGAAAAATGACAGTAAATGCTTAATTGTCATCTTCACCTTTTTTGACCCACTCCACAGATACTCCTGGATGTAACTAAAATGCAGGTTTGGAGACAATGAGCGAAAGTAACTCTACATGCACATGGGAAATAGACAGAGGGCGAACTGACAATTAAAATAATCTGTGGGTACCTAGGTGCCTTAATTGAGAATATGATCTGAATCAGCTAATGGATTTGCTTTTTTTGTAGGGGTTGCTATGCAGTTTTTTCACATATCCCCTAATATTACACTTGTAATACATTAAAATATTCAACCATCCCTTAAATATTTAGTGGTTTCTTCTTCCAAATGAAACCAAACCTGGGAGAATAGGTGTTGTGACTGTTCAAGGAAAGGGCAGCATGATGGAAGTATGCAATATAAATTTAACAAATAAACATAAGATTGTTTCATTTTTTTCCCCTCTTACAAGACCAAATCTCTGTTGTTTTTTTAAAAAGGATGCCAAACTTCTAACAATAGTTATAGCTTGTAGAAGCCACCTGGAGCCTCCTTCACACTACTAATTGCTTTAGGCTTTCCTGTACAAGTTTGTTGTGGCTTTATTTTTTGATATCTGATATATGTTGTTGTTGTTGTTTTTTTAAAAATAGTCTTGGATTATAAATAAATACAATCACACATTACTAATCTCAGGAATCATGGCAAATATTCAGAGGATTTCCACGCTTTGCTGAAATCAGGACATTTGGAAACCCCAGAACGTAAGATCTGATCATAATCTTTACTGGAAATACTTAAACGTGTTTTAATGAAAGCACTTAAGCTTAGGGAGGGTTTTTTTTGGTGTCAAGTGTGGATAGACTCAAGAAGCAGTGCTCTTTGACATTCATAATAAAGATATACCAGAGGTGTCCAAAACATTTAGAGTTTGAAGCAGTTTCCATTTCCAAATGGATTGTTCTGACGTTTTTGGAAATGTTTTGAGTTCCAAAGAATTCCAGAATGTTAAAACAACCTATTGTGAATTCAAAATAATCACTTTTGGGCTCAGGATAAGATGTTTTGAATATGAAACATTTCAAATTCAAAATGTTTTGCACGACTATGATGCCTGCAAATTAACTCTGCACTTCTAAAACCACTGGGAGAAATTTGGCCACCTGCCCCTACAAAGTGCCTCAGTTTCTATGCCAGGTGAACTTTACCCAAGAGAAAGATCTCACCGGAATACCTCTCGCTGATATTTAACATTCCAGTTGTAATCTCCTTTGTTGACAAGTTCAAAAAATTCAGTCCTCTTCCTGTAACCAAATATTACAACATTACAAACCAAACAGAGAAAGACATAGCTGCCCATCTTAGGCAGCAATATCCTGGGTATTCAAAAGCAGTAATTAAATAGTAAGAACAAAAGAAAAATTTTTTCCCAGGGCCTGTAACACAACACACCAGCACATATCCAGATCGAACTTTAAAATTTTATTAGGCTCCGGCCTCCTTACTACCACATAGCTTATGGGAAAAGTCAGATCAGGACTAGGTGTATGAAAATTCATTCCCACAAATTCATTTAAAATATGCAGAAATTAGCAGGACAAACGTGCTAAATAATCCTTTTTTGTAACAAGTAAAACTTAGCACATCCTAAAGCAGGGGTCTTCAAACTTGGCCCTTTTATGATTTTGTGGACTTCAACTCCCAGAATTCCTCAGCCAACGTGCCTGGCTGAGGAATTCTGGGACTTGAAGTCCACAAAATCATAAAAGGGCCAAGTTTGAAGACCCCTGACCTAGAGTATATAGTTTAGATTGTTCCAGGCAGTTAAGGTATAATTGCAGGAGATGTCTCATAACAGCCCATTCACCATATGCTGCCAGTTACAGATTTGTAATAATTAAGGGCAGAAGGGATGGCAATTTATTATTTAATTTTTACTGCTCTCCCCCAAATAGAAATGCACAATGTCTGAAATTAACTCTCCAAACTTATGCATCTTCCATGGCCCTTGATCATATTTTATTACACCTCATGCCTTCCAGATGAGTTAGATTTCATTCACATAATTCCCCCTCAATTAGGTTTGTTAGGAATTCTTGGGAGTAGAAATCCAGCATATATAATCAGGGAAAACACTGCAAATTGATGATAAAAAATAACTTTCAATGTGTTAATTCTTAATTTTCCCATTATACAATAAAATAAAGGTTCTAAGGAGCTACTTAATACTTCTTTAGTCAAGTATGCACATACCAAAAGACTTTGAAGGGCCTTGAAATAGCTGCCCTGAGATTTCAAGAGGGAAGCACTTCACTCATCAAATGATTTGCACAGGCTAATGTGCCTTACTTGACAATTCCACATAGGGAGGAATGAATCTGCAGTGATTTCTATAATAGCTGCATTGTTTTTCAAGCACAACTTTATTCTGCAGTGCCAGAAAGCAGTTCTTGAAGACTTTGGTATGCAAACTGCTTCTACTGAATGTTGTTCACGAAATTTATTTATATAGCTGCCCATCTTACTGAAGACAACTCTGGGTGGCAAGCAACAGTCAGGATAAAAACAATAAATAAAAACAAGCATGTGAAATATTTTTTAAAAAGCTTAGTAATAAATATTGTAAAAGCAAATGATACAAACCACAGGACAGGGAGGATAAAAATGGTCACCTCAACAATGGAGCTATCTACACAATTCTCTGGTTCCTTGGGAGCCACAGGCCTGACAATATAGCCAAGACTTGAGGTCTTTAAAGAATGTCAAAAAGGAATGGAGCTAACCTAATTTCAGGGGGAAGAATATTTCATAAGATGGGTGCCATGGCAGAGAAGGCATATCTCCTGGGGGTCACAAAATGAAGGACCCTACCATTGGTATTCACAACATGCCTACTCTACCAGATCTAGCGGGAGAGAGTGATGTAACCAGGGAGAGGTGGGCTCTCAGATAACTCATCCTATGCTATGATGGGCTTTAAAGGTTAAAACCAGCACCCTGAATTAAACTCAGAAGCAAACTGGCAGCCAATGCAGCTTGTATAACATTTGCTGCTCTAGGAATGCACATAAACATCCGTTCCACTGCATTCTGTACCAGCTGAATTGTTTTGATACTCTTCAAGGGCAGCTCCATGAGAGTGCATTGCAATTCACCAGGACATGAGTGACTCTAATTCCTGATTCAGGAATGGGTGCAACAGGTGGAACAGATGAAATTGTGCAAAGGCCCACCTAGCCGAGCTGCCATCTGTTTCTCGAGCAGAAGTTGTGAGTCTAGGAGGAAACCCCCCCCCCCTTAGATCTTAAAAAGAGAGGAGAAAGCACCAAACCCTGTGGCACCCCACATAGTAGGGCAAGAGTGGGACTTCTCATCCCTGATCAACACTAACTGAAATTGGCCCTGAATGAAGGTGGCAAATCAGCATAACATTGTAATGCCCATCCCCAATTCTCTGGGCTGATCCAGAAAGACAACATGGTTGATGATACTGAAAACCCCCGAGAGGTCTAGTAGGGCAAGGATGGTTGCACTACAAACATCCCACCCATGCCACAGGCTGTCCAAAAACATAACCAATGCTGCTTCCATTCCATACCTAGGTCTAACTCCTGACTGAAAAGGGTCCAGATAATCCTTCTCTAAAGCCTCTGAAACTGTTGCACAACCACTTTTACCACCTTCTCCCCCCCAAAGGAAGGTGAAATATTGGATGAAAATTGTCCATATTGTGGGGTCCTGCAATGGCCTCTTGAGAAGAGAGTGAACCACATATTCTTTAAGAAGTAAAGGAACCCCCTCATTCAAAGAATTCACTAACACCAGAACCCATTCACAAGACACCTCCCAGTCCACTTTGACAAACCAGGATGGGCATGGAGTTTAAGACCAGATAGCTGAGCTCACAGTCCTAAGGAACCTTCCCATTTCCTCAGGTCCAACAGGTTTTAATTGTTCCCAGACAACTGGGCAAGACTCTTCTCTTGGCATTTTTTCTGGACCTGCAGGAAGGCCAACATCTAACTGGGAACAAATCCAAGTGACTTTATCTTGCCAGAGTTGTTAAGTGAAGCATTGCAGTTGTTAAATTAGTAACACTGTTGTTAAATGAATCTGGCTTCCCTTTTGACTTTGCTTGTCAGAAGGTTACAAACGGTGATCACATAACCCCAGGACACTGCAACCGTCATAAGCACATGCCAGTTGCCAAGTGTCCAAATCTTGATCACATGATCATGGGGATGCTGCAATGGTCGTAAGTATGAAAAAATGGTCATGTCACCTTTTTCAGTGCCGTTGACACTTTGAATGGTCACTAAACAAATGGTTGTAAGTCAAGGACTATCTGTACTTACATCTTGCTTGCAAATAATTGTAACGGTATCACTAATACCTTATAAAATCAAATTAGAAGATAAAGCAACTTCATTATTTAACTGCCTGTTTTAATATAAAAGGTTACCCTGTGAGGTGGAGTTGGGCTGAGGGAGAGAATGACTGTTTTTCTCAGGCAATTCCTGTAGCTGAAGGTGGACCAAAACTTGGGTCTCTAACTAGTCTTAGTCCAACACCTTAATCACTAAGCTACCGTGGCTTTCATATGTAGAATAAGACTGGCATGGCTGGCTCCAGGAATTCTGGGAGTTGAAGTCCACAAGTCATAAAAGGGCCATTGTTCCCCACCCCTGCTGTAAATAATTAAAATGATGAGTAAATACTAACTTATAGTATTCTATACCCAGTGCTCTAGCTGATATTTAAACACTGTTGTTGTGGATTGCAACTCTTTCAGAATTTCATTTATCAAAATTAGAAAATGCCAATACTTACTCAAAATAGAGAGTGAGGTCTGTTGCCAGTATTGACTTCTTCAGAAGCTGCATAAGATCACTGTAATCCTTGGAGGACAAATTAGCAAAGATGTTGTGACCCTATAATGAAAGAGAGAGCAAAGCTAAATAGCTTAGAATCAATAGAAGAATTTTTCCAATAAGTCACTATTGCAAGAAATCTTTTTTAAAAAAATAAATTGTAATGAAATCATAGCAAACATATTTCATTCAGCTGCTATACTTAAGATGTAATGCTAGATATTTCTGCTGGACTAAAAATATGGGCTAGTAAATAAAAAATATTGTCCATAAACTTTTTTTTTTGTTTGCATATAAACTGATGAACAATCTATGGAAATTTCGACCTAAAGAACTTAGCTTTTTCTTTAAAACTGAAGTTTTATGTTAGTTGTTTTTGGTTTTTCATTTGTAAGGTGTTTTTAATCTGTTGTTATCTGCCCAGAATAGCTGTGGTAGCAGGTGGGTGGTTACATAAATCTAAAAAAACAACTCATGTATCTTACAGGGAGATAAAATACTGATTACTATTAGGCTATCCAACCAATCCTAAATCTATATCTATGCTCATAAATCTCAATTTCAGTAAATGTTGTTTTGATGTAAATATGCCAAAGATGCTATAAACTCTTTAAGGCTGAGTCCACTTTAAATGTTCTCTTGAAATATTCTTTTTTTTTACCCATATAGAATATAATTCTTTATTGGCCAAGTGTGACTGGACACACAAGGAATTTGTCTCCGATGCATAAGCTATCAGTGTACACAGAAGCAGCAAGTAATAAATCATGATCATAATCATAAAATACAATCATCATAAATTTAAGATACAACACTCAGTAATAGTCATAGGATACTAAATAATCAACATAAATCATAATAGGATGTGTTTCTAAATTCTGAGATAAATTGTAGACAATAGCAAATTATCTACGCTCCATCCAATAATATGATAATAGAGTCCTACTACTACTACTACTACTACTACTACTACTACTAATAATAATAATAATAATAATAATAATAATAATAATAAACAATAATAATAATAAAGTTGGAAGGGACCTTGGAGGGCATCTAGTCCAACCCCCTGCTCAGGCAGGAAACCCTATACTATTTCAGACAAATGGCTGTCCAGTCTCTTCTTAAAAACTTCCCAGTGTTGGAGCATTCACAGCTTTTGGAGGCAGGTTGTTCTGCTGATTAATTGTTCTAACTGTCAGGAAATTTCTCCTTAGTTCTAGGTTGCTTCTCTCCTTGATTAGTTTCCATCCGTTGCTTCTTGTCCTGCCTTCAGGCGCTTTGGAGAATAGCTTGACTCCCTCTTCTTTGTGGCAGCCCCTGAGATATTGGAACACTGCTATCATGTCACCCCTTGTCCTTCTCTTCATTAGACTAGACATGCCCAATTCCAGCAACCGTTCCTTATATATCTTAGCCTCCAGTCCCCTGATCATCTTTGTTGCTATTCTCTGTACTCTTTCTAGAGTTTCAACATCTTTTTTACATTGTGGTGACCAAAACTGGATGCAGTATTCCAAGTGTGGCCTTACCAAGACATTATAAAGTGGTATTAACACTTCATGTGATCTTGATTCTATCCCTCTGTTAATGCAGCCTAGCACTGTGTTGGCTTTTTTGGCAGCTGCAGCACACTGCTGGCTCATGTTTAAGTGATTGTCCACTAGGATTCCAAGATCCCTCTCACAGTTGCTACTATTGAGCAAGTTACTACCTATACCATACCTGTGCATTTGGTTTTTCTTGCCTAAATGTAGAACTTTACGTTTACCACTGAATTTCATTTTGTTAGATAGCGCCCAATGTTCAAATCTGTCAAGATCCTTCTGTATCTTAAGCCTGTCTTCTGGAGTGTTGGCTATTCCTGTAGTCTGCAAATTTGATGAGTTCCCCATCTATCCCCTCATCCAAATCGTTGATGAAGATGTTGAAGAGCACTGGGCCCAGAACAGAGCCCTGGGGCACCCCACTACACACTTCCCTCCATGTAGATGCAGTTCCATTGAGGACCACTCGCTGAGTACGGCCGGTCAGCCAGCTACGAATCCATCTGGTGGTGATGCTGTTTAACCCACATTTTTCTATCTTATCAAGTAGTAGGTTGTGATCTACTTTATCAAATGCCTTACTGAAGTCCAAGTAAATTATATCCACAGCATTCCTCTGGTCCACTAATTTTATCAAAGAATGCAATAAGATTTGTCTGGCATGATCTGTTTTTGACAAACCCATGTTGGCTTTTGGTAATGACTTTGTTTGCCTCTAGGTGTTTGCTGATTCGTTGCTTGATTATCTTTTCCAAGATCTTCCTAGGTATTGAGGTCAGGTTGAAAGGTCTGTAGTTTCCTGGATCCATTTATTTTCCTTTTTTGAAGATGGGGAACTGCATCAGCTTTTTCCCAGTCCTCTGGTAGTTCCCCAGTGCTCCAGCATCTTTGAAAGATATAGTTCAATGGTTCTGAGATCACATCTGCCAGTTCCTTGAGAACATTGGGATATAATCCATCTGGTCCTGGTGATTTGAACTCATCTAGGGTGGACAGGTGCTCACTTATCATTTTCTGCCTGGTCCTGCTCTGATTTCTGATCTGGTCCTGCTCTAATTTCTCTGGAACTTTCACTACTATAATAAACCTTTTCCCTGTCATCTCTGCCTACAAAGACAAATCCAACTCATTCTGGAAAAGAAATCTATATTAATGTAAATATTTTCTTATAGTAGTTATGTAAGTGTGAATTACATCAAAATCTGAATTCAAGAAACATAAATTATTCATCTAGAATTCATTAAACATACTAATATAAAATTCTATGTACGCATTCAAATAACAGAGCAGGTTCATTGGAGGAAAACTTCCAACCTCATAAATGCAAAACTTTAAACAATGCTTTTTTTTCTCCCAACTCCAGCAGCTCAACCCATAAACTTCTTTTCAATTGAAAAGCTGTTGAATAATTTAATACCAGAATTAATAGTTACTCTATTTAGGAAGAGGTAATGCCAGTCTATATTTAGGAAAAAAATATTTATTTAGATTTTCCTATAAGAGAAAATATATTACTAAGAACATTACAGCTCTAATAGTAAAGAAAAAATCAAAACCTTTTTAAGCACATTTATTTATTAAATTTATATGCCACCCTTCTGATTCTGCAAAGCGACTCCGGGCAGCTTACAATTAAAATAATCAAAACTGTTTTTGCTTTTTGGAAATATTTTGCTTTGGGAGTAAATATTACATAAGTCATATCATAAAACTCAGTGCCATATATGGAATTCAGAATCTGTTTTCTATGTGCTGGCAGACAAAATAACTTTTTAGATATGCTATAATAAAGCAGCTATTGACAGTTATTTTTAGAAAAGAAGAAGAAATGGGGTAATCCATGGTTTTTGTACCTCACTCTGAAGAATCATTACAGCATGGTTGAAATGGTGATGCTCCAGAGTAGCAGATGTCCCATAGAGCTGAGCTAAAGCAGACCCAATCCTGAAAAAAATGCAACATGTGACATTCTTTCAGCACATGCTTCTGAGATTATCAAATGATGAGAGAAATGCTATCCCAATCTTTCTGTTTTGTAGCACAGACCATTAACCTTTCCAAACTCGCTGTTTTCCATCTATGCCACCATTCCAGAATGAGAAAGGGAGGGCTAAAGGAAGGGTTATAACAGGGATATGTATTCAGATCATAGATCTATTCAGCATATAAACACAATATGAGCGGCGATTCTGATTTATCTTTTCTACACAATCTGATCTTTTTCAGTCACTGGGACATTGGTTTCTTCATTGGTAATGTTTTTTTCTGAGCTGGGCTCTGAAATGAACTGGTGAAGTGCTATATTTCTTTTATCTCTTTAAAATTGTTTCAATTCTGCTTGGAGAAGAAAGGCTCCAAAATAGAGCTGTCAAAGGTTTCTGCCACGGTTTAAATTTAGATATGTATAATTCATGATCGGAATCTGCACATTCACCAGATGAGGGAAGAAAAACAGAAAGATCTCTTTTGATATATTTTGGTAGAGTAGACTAACAGACTTGGAAGGGACCTTGTAGGTCATCTAGTCCAACCCCCTGCCCCAACAAGAGTCCCTACACCATTTCTGACAGATGCCAGTCCAGTCTCTTCTTGAAAGCCTCCAGTAACGAAGGACCAACAACATCTGAAGGCAGTCTGTTCCATTGGTTGATTGTTCTCATCCATCCATCCATCCACCCACCCACCTACCTACTTGCCTACCTACCTACCTAAAAATGGGATATAACCCTGACTAAATATGCATACAGGTGCTGTTAATGCTTCAGTTTAAGTTTTATATGCTTTCAAAACAAATTCCTGTTTAATATCTGCATAGCTGTGTAACTAACCACGTCTACACAAACATAGATTGTAGTACATTTAAAATGCTAAATTTAATTCTTCAAAGAAAGTATGAATTGTAATTACAAAACTGGTAATTGTTAGAAGATGGAACACACAAGGATTACAAGAGTTATATCACAAGAGATTAACACAGATGAGGCTTGGTGTTATTGGTGGGTGTATGCTTATGTATATATGCTTAGTTGAAGAAATTAGTTTAAGAGATTCTTGCTTGGAATGAATATAGGAGATTATATTGCAAAGCTACACTACCCAGATATTTAATCATCATGGGGCAGCTGCAATGAGAGAAAGAGGAGAAAATTACTAAGAACATTGTCCCCCAGAGGAAACAGCAGTGAAGTGGATTAACAGGCTGTGATACTGTTTTCAATCACACTCCTCTCAATCTTTCATTGTACTGAACCCTCCCCACCCAAGTTAGGAAAGAAATGGGAAAAGTGAGGCTTAAATTTACAGTCTTTCCAACCACAAATCACAACATGTCAGGATCATAACAACTGTTATCATTATACTTAATACACTATGTCGCCATGTGCTATAACCTTTCAGTTATTTCTTTAACATTTCTTTAACATTACAAAAAGACCGTGTTCTCCCTGCATAAACTCACGGAACTCAATACAAGGGACAGATATAGACTGATGGTTTACCAGTAAATAATGCTCTTTATAAAAAAAAAATTAGACAAGTTAAAAATAATCTTTAGATTAAATGGTTTGTATTTTGATTAATATCCACTTCATAAAATAATGCAGTTTTAAAAATGTTTGAATCTTGCAAAGTCTCAAATCTCATATAATTTTGGTGTGCACCTGGTTTCAGATCTGAACTTAAAATCTTGTTGTACATGGACATTTTTACTTTCTTGTCAATGTTTCATGTGCCAGATTTTGCTATTCCTGCAAGAATTCGTCCATTTTTTTAAATTTTATTTATCTGGCACAAGCACTGTTGTTCAAGATTGTACAAGATGTACAAGATTGTACAAGAAAAATCTCAAACGGTACGAATTCAGACAGGAACAAAGAGCCTTCTCAGTAGACATCCACTGTTAAGCCTCATAAAAACTTGCATTTTACTACTGAGTTAATGCAGCAGCCTGCCAGGGTGGACTCAGCTGTAGTTTTTCCATCTTCTACTCACTGCCAGAACTGATCTTAAGTAAACCTAGCCCACCTCATACTTTTGGCATTACAGAGAAGTATTCAAATGAAATATTAATCTTTCAAAACAGGGATGGAACAGGAAATCTGTTTGAATGTAATCTGCATTACATTCAACAGTCAAAAGCTTATTTCTTCTAATTTCCATAAAATCTTCATTTTGTATTATCATTCTTGTGTCTATGGAGATTCTCAGTCATCCAGGACATGGTTGTCCCAAAGGTGCTTTTTCAAAAGGCAACTGGACTTTATTTTTCTTGTTAGTATACAGCTATAAACCTTTTTTTTTAAATAATACATTCATTTTGCATGCTATTTTTAGCCTAGAACTTACTGGATAATTTCAGAGCTCCACGCAACTAACATGATGATTGTTTGATCTAGTAGTTATGCCAGTTCAGTTTTAACTGCAGGCCAAACACACATTATTTAAAACAAGTTTGCCTACTAGCATTATACTTTCTCTCTGTTTAATTAGCCACTGAAACCATTAGCGGTCCTCAAAAGCCCTAGGCTTTATACTGCCTTGGTAACTGTTTCACCATTTAATCAGATTTAGTTACTGTAGTAAAACCCAGTACTGTAACAGTCCCACTGAAAAGAAGCGGATAAAAAGAAGTTTTAGGCTTCGGAGTTATCTATCTTTTCTGTTTCCTCTTGTATCAGGAGTATTTTTTCTATATCAGTGGCTCTTCAAATTCCTTACTATGATAGATGATTTCTTTCAAAAGGGGTTACAAAGAATTCTTCACCGGCTTCTCCCATACACAGCTCCCGTAAATTGTGCAGGGAAAAAAAAATCCTCTAATATTAAGCACCCACCCAACACAAAATGGCATGTCCTTGCAGAATTTTTAAAAATTAGCATAAACTCACTTGTTCTAGCACCCAAGTCAATTCATTACCTGATGCTTAGTTTACCCAATGGAAGGCAATCCTTGTTGCTATTCCAGCATCACAGACAGCAATCACCTTTGCTCTACTAAAGCTGATATACAGAACTGTGAAACCTGATTATAATTCCTCATATGCACCAAAAGTTTCTGAATCAAGCCGCACTACAACACATACCATCATGCTATATTGGATATTAAAATGCTTCCCAAAACGAAGATATAGTCAGGTTCCCCCATTTCATACCAGGTCCTGAATAGTAGGGATTTTTTTTAATATGTATATTTATTTTGCATTCAGTGTTGGTGGTGCAATTATAATACAGAATTCTATTAAAGATTCATATTTACTTAATGCCTTGTACTGCGCTAAGCGTGCAGACCTAATTAGTTTTTCTGAAATCTATTGCCTAGCAACTAGGTGGGCCAAGGAAGTGTGCGTGTGTTTATCAGTGTTCTGTATCAAATATATATGCCATAATACAACTCCTGATACTGAGTTCTTAATATAGAGAATTATATTCGCAGAAATACTCTCTAATTGGAAACAGAATTTCTCATTTGGGGTGCTGTACAGGTAGTCCTCGACTTACAACAATTCACTTAGTGGCTGTTGGCTGCAAAATTATAGAGAAAATAAATCTAGATAAGGTATGTCTCCAATTTTGTCTTTCTGATATCTTAATTGCCTGAATGGGATTAGTTACCATGCAATGAATATGTGCTCCAGTTTGACCCAAAACAATAAACAATATCTATATCAGGAAATCTAACACATTGTGTTGGCACAACACTACGCTAGGAATAAAATAAGTTAAGCATCAACAGAATACTTGTTTATAACAGATGTGTAAACAAAAGAGATAAAATTAGAATCTCCTGTGAAGGAAATTCTGCCTCCCAGAAGCAATGCATATGTCTTGCTACAAAGTTCATTTTACAATGTACATTCATTTATTGATGTGTTTTATGTTTATACTATATCAAACTACTTCTTTTTTTCCCCCAACTGGCAAAAAATGTTATTGCCTGTCCAAAGCTTTATCCCAGAAGCAGAAGTATCCTTTATCTCAGATGAGGTCTCTCAAAATCGTAAAATTGAAATATAATCTGAAACTGCTAAAGATGATGATGATGACACTACAGAATCTGACCTCCAAAATCTATCCTGCACTCTCTCTGTAAAGACTTTGGTCCTTTGGCACAAAATCCCATACCATTAAGTTCGTCAATTAAGGTGATACGCTAATCCAGAAGAGTGGAGAATAAATGGTCATTTGACAGAGACTATTGTGAAGGAACTGTCCTGTGTAGAATCTGAGTAGAATCAAGGTACAAAATTACTTTATGTATAAGCTCTTTCATTTGTGCAATAACAAATTAGGCAGAACTTTGCATAGCCCCTTACAAAGTCCATCTTGTTGTAATACAAGCCAATTGTCCTATAAGAAGTTCTCCTTTAAAGTAAACTATGACCACTAGACACTAAGGATCAAGTGGGTAGTTGGGAGAGATTGTCTATTATGAAGCTGAGCAGTGTATGAGTAATTATAATCCAACTCATCAACCAGTTAGAGCAGGGGTCTGCAACCTTGACAACTTTCAGACTTGTGGACTTCAGCTCCCAGAATTCCTCAGCCAGCTATGCTATGCTGGCTGAGGAATTCTGGGAGCTGAAGTCCACAAGTCTTAAAGTTGTCAAGGTTGCAGACCCGAGTTAGAGTTTATCATGTTATAAAAACCCAGGAACTTGCAAAAAGTTGTCAGTGTCATGCAAAAACATGAAATAGCCTGCATTTTGTGGGACTTTGCCTGTCTTAAGAAAACAAGACACCATTTATGTAAACAATTTGTTCTGTTTTGAATGCAAATGCTGGCTATTTCCTTAATATTTGCTAAAATGTTATAGAATAATAAACCACATTTTTTTGTGCTTTCTGTTTTGCCACAAGCAGTTATGTCAATAAAGATGCAACTTCAACTAAAGTTCTGCCTAATTTAATGTTTTGTTTGATGGATATTCATGTGTAGCAGCTTAGGTCATAATAAAAATAATAATTTAGAAGGAATTAAGTGCTCTTTTAAAGAAATATAGAGAAAGAAATTCAATTTGATTACACATATTTTGAAACCAACATTTATTTCTAACTTCTAAAATATTCATTTTTTAAAACAAGACAAACAAATAATAGTGGAAACATACTTAGCTTGAAAGGCATTGTTTGTTCCTCTGTGATCAAGGTCATGGCATAAACATCCAACTATCAAAGCTAAAATTTCTATTTCTGTCAGAATCTCCTGAAATCCTGCTGTCTGAAAATAGAAAAAAAATATCTATTGGTAACGTCAACAAATGCAGTCATTTTTAAGCTTTCATTAGAAATCAGATAAATGAATGTTGGAGGAAGGATCAAGATGTACCAGCAGTTACATTTGATAAGTAGAAGTCAAGATGAGCTAGTGGTTAAACTGAGATCACATTAAACCCTGGGATGATTTGGGTCATTCTCTCTCAGTCAACCTACCTCACAGAGTTGCTGCCGAAAGGAAAATGGGTGGTGGGAATGCTGGTTACATCCTTTAAGCTCCTGAAGGAAAAGCAGGATATACTGGTAGTCCTTGAGTTACAACCAGTGGTGGGATTCACCCGGTTTGCAACAGTTTGGCAGGACCGGTAGCTAAATCTGGAAGTCTGTTCTAGGCCTCAGAGGCCCAGGCCTGCATCCAATAAGAGAACCAGTTGTTCAAGTATTTCAATCCCACCACTGGTTACAACCATTCATTTAGTGACTGTTCGAAATTTACAGCAGCACTGAAAAAAGTGACTTGTGACCATTTTTCACACTTTACAACTGTTGCAGCAATCCCATGGTCACATGATCAAAATTTGGGCACTTGGCAACCAGCATTTATTTAAGACAGTTGCAATGTCCTGGGGTCATGAGATCACCATTTGTAACCTTCCCAGCCGGTTTCCAACAAGCAAAGTCAATGGGGGGGGGGGGAAGCTAAATTCACATAATAAATGCACGATTCACTTAACACCTGCAATGATTCACTTAACAACTGTGGCAAAAAAGCTCATAAAATGGGGCAAAATTCACTTAGTTGCTTGACTTGCTTAGCAATGGAAATTTGGGGGTCAACTGTGGTGGTACATTTAACAAATAGCTAAAGAGTTGTTCATAATTCTAATGCCCTCCGTATGGAGTAAAGGAATAACCTCTAGCTTTCAGCTATATCAGTTCATATGTGCAAAAAGTTCAGAAGTGCGCTGTTGCAGTATTGCTAAATAGTAATGTTATAAATGTCTTTGTTCTATTGATATCCTGCTATTTTGATGATTTAACAAAGAAGCTTATTAGCCAAGCTGGACTATAACTATTTGGTTTCACATCAGTGAATCGTTGAACATGATGCTTTTCAGCTGGTAAGATGTCCAATAAGAACAACAACAAAAGGGAATCTTATCACAGAGGATCATCTAAATCATCCTCTGCACAGGTGCACTTCAGGTACGTATGAACAAATCTCATCCCTAGCTGGAGTTCAGCGGGGATGTGAACATGACTAGATACGAGCTTTTTTATGTACAATAGAAGCCTTAGTTTGCCTTGTAAGATAATTGTTCTCAGTTTTCCATACTTTTTTTTCGTTTAACATATTACAGGTAATCCTCAATTTACAACCATTTATTTAATGACTGATCGAAATTACAACTATGATCGTTTTTCACACTTACGACTGTTGCAGATGCCCCCTGGTCATGTGATTAAAATTTATATGTTTGGCAACTGGTTCACATTTATGACGGCTGCAGTGTCCCAGACTCACGTGATCACCTTTTGCGACTTTCTGACAAGCAAAGTCAACGGGGATGCCAGATTCACTTAAGAACTGTGTTGCTAACTCAACATCTGCAGTGATTCACTTAACAAATGTGGCAAGAAAGGTCGTAAAATGGAGCAAAACTCACTAAACTGTCTCACTTAGAAACAGAAATGCTGGTTGTAAGTCAAGGGCTACCTGTACTTCTTTTCAATAGTACTGAATAATTGCCTATACTACATACTAATGTCACATACTAATACTATGCCATTTTGGGGTCTGGGGTTCCAGAAAAATACAGATTAGAATATTAGAGGCTTGGGTATTGGAGGTGAAAAGGAAATACATTCCAGTTCAAGGGCCCCTCAACAGGAAATATATTGCATTACTGAACCTATCAAACATAATTAGTTTAAAGCTAACAAAAGGAACTTATCTGCCATCCTTTACTCTTTGATGAAAAATGTGTCTAAAATGTAATAAGAACATCAAAAGAGCCGTGCTTGATCAGATCAAAAATCCATGTAGCCCGTTCTGTTCCCACGTTGGCCCATCTGGAATTGGCAAGCAGGACATGAGCGAAATACCTTTTTTTTTTGCCATTCATGTTCCCCATAGAGCAATTTGTGAAACATGAATATGGAGAGGCATAGACTGGGTTCACATTTTGTATTATTCTATCTGCTTGTATTTGGCTTAAAGCAATGCATGAACTCAATTACTATGGCTCTTAAATCATAGTTTATACCATAGCTTATTGAGCAAACAAGCCATTTTGCCTCAGATACAGGAAGTAAAATCTAGCTATCGAGGCTAGTAATCCCCGATAGTTGCTTTCCATGAATCAATCTAATCTCCTTTTTGAGAGACCCAAATTAATGGGTATCATTCCATTTTTATGATAGTGAATTCCTCAGGTTAGTTAAATCCAGTGTAAAATACTTTATCTTATGTATCCTGGTTTTCCCTTCATTTAATTCCACTGAGTGCTGGGTTTTAGGATTATAAGAGGGACAAAAACTCTAGTATCCATTTTCTTCATATCATTCATACAGTATATATAGTGAATATCACACCCAAAAAACCCTGAAATAAATTTCTTCTAAGAAAATTCCTGCAGGCCTGCAGAGTAAATGATTTAAAAAATCACACCAACATGATCCATGTTTTCCCTTTTTCTACTTATGTTGTGCCATCCTATACATGTGCAAACAACAGAGAGTATGCATTGTAATGAAGCATTCAATAATTCTATCTGATGGAAACAGCTGATCCTGTAAATTCCTCTGCTCCAGGTATTTGAACATCTAGTGTCCTTTTCTGCATCTTTTCAACTTATCTTGATGATCACAATTATGCACTCTGTTTTAAAGGAACTGCTTCTCAGCACTGTACAAAGGTATTATGCTATTGACAATCCGATTCCTCTCCTAGTGATTCACCAAAATGTGGAATTTTTTTCTTCTTTTCACAGTAGCTATACGCTGGGTCAATGTTAAATGAATAAGTGTTGTCGACTTATCTTGCTGAGGTGGCAGGAAAGATTGCCATGCCAGCATAATGCACAACATCATTACTATATAAAGTAACATGTTCAAATCTGATACCATCCTTCTCCTCACTGTCATATGATTTGTGTGCAATAAATCTTGTAATGAAGTAAGCTAATATCAGTTATGATAATTCCAAAGGCATCATTTTCAATGCAAATGCAATATGAGCACAGAAAGTTTTGCTTCCTATGTCTAGCCTAATAAAGAGGACTAGGGGGTCATATGACTGCAGTCTTCCGATAACTAAGGGGCTGCCACAAAGAAGACGGAGTCAAGCTATTCTCCAAAGCATCTGAAAGCAAGACCTGAAGCAACAGATGGAAACTTATCAAAGAGAGAAGCAACCTAGAACTAAGGAGAAATTTTCTGACAGTGAAAACAATTAGTCAGTGGAACGACTTGCCTCCAGAAGTTGAGGGTGCTCCATCACTGGAGGTTTTTAAGAAGAGACTGGACAATCATTTGTCTAAAATGATATAGGGATTGCTGCTTAAGCAGGGGGTTGAACTAGAAGACCTCCAAGGTCCCTTCCAACTCTGTTATGCTCCCCTTACTTTCAAAATCTAAGCCTTGAAAGGATTATGCATAGCAATATGTACCATGATAGTGGAAGAGAACTTCTTTTTGCTGGAGAATAAATTATCTCAACTCAACTAGAGCCAGAGTCTAAATATAATTATAAAGGTCATTCTTTATGCAAGGAAATGAATTACATTTTAACTGTTCTAGTTTTATGAGTTTTGTTGNATTGAAGGAGGGAGCGGGCCACCCTGAAGAGGGCGGCAGGGCGGTTATCTGATGACGCGATGAGTGAGGCATAGTAGTTAGTCCTAGCCTCCCTCAGCGCCACTAGGTAAGATCTAAGATGTATCTTTACCTGTGTTCGAGCGGATTCGGTTCGGCTGGTCCTCCAACTGCTCTCTAGGCGTCTTTTCCGACGTTTCATATGTGCATATGTGCAAAAAGTTCAGAAGTGCGCTGTTGCAGTATTGCTAAATAGTAATGTTATAAATGTCTTTGTTCTATTGATATCTTGCTATTTTGATGATTTAACAAAGAAGCTTATTAGCCAAGCTGGACTATAACTATTTGGTTTCACATCAGTGAATCGTTGAACATGATGCTTTTCAGCTGGTAAGATGTCCAATAAGAACAACAACAAAAGGGAATCTTATCACAGAGGATCATCTAAATCATCCTCTGCACAGGTGCACTTCAGGTACGTATGAACAAATCTCATCCCTAGCCGGAGTTCAGCGGGGATGTGAACATGACTAGATACGAGCTTTTTTATGTACAATAGAAGCCTTAGTTTGCCTTGTAAGATAATTGTTCTCAGTTTTCCATACTTTTTTTTCGTTTAACATATTACAGGTAATCCTCAATTTACAACCATTTATTTAATGACTGATCGAAATTACAACTATGATCGTTTTTCACACTTACGACTGTTGCAGATGCCCCCTGGTCATGTGATTAAAATTTATATGTTTGGCAACTGGTTCACGTTTATGACGGCTGCAGTGTCCCGGACTCACGTGATCACCTTTTGCGACTTTCTGACAAGCAAAGTCAACGGGGATGCCAGATTCACTTAAGAACTGTGTTGCTAACTCAACATCTGCAGTGATTCACTTAACAAATGTGGCAAGAAAGGTCGTAAAATGGAGCAAAACTCACTAAACTGTCTCACTTAGAAACAGAAATGCTGGTTGTAAGTCAAGGGCTACCTGTACTTCTTTTCAATAGTACTGAATAATTGCCTATACTACATACTAATGTCACATACTAATACTATGCCATTTTGGGGTCTGGGGTTCCAGAAAAATACAGATTAGAATATTAGAGGCTTGGGTATTGGAGGTGAAAAGGAGATACATTCCAGTTCAAGGGCCCCTCAACAGGAAATATATTGCATTACTGAACCTATCA